GTATAAAGTACTGGAGGTTTAGGTACAATCCTTTGGAGATGTTTTTTTTGTTCAAATAAGTACTTGAGAGCAATTTTAGAATAAGACTACATTAAACTCATTTCTTAATGTGGCTTTTTGTTTGTTTGTTTGTTTTCTGAGTACCCAGGAAATGGGAATGGGATCAGTAATGAATTCAGAAGGGAGTCAGTTTGCAGTTATAAATTCTTAGCCATTATTTTCTGTCTACCACTCCCATTATGAAGACTGTTTTCCTTGAATTGCCCTAGTTGAGAACAGGATAAGGAATTGTCTCTGCTATACTCTTCAACTGATTATGTGGGATTTTAGAATTCCAACTTTGTATCAGACTCTACTGGGTCACTGACACTCCCAATTATATAAGCATACTTGAAAATATTTGAATTTTTCTAAGAGTATGAAGTGTTAGATATCCAAATATAATGTATCACATCACAAATTACATTTTAAAAAATATTTAATAAATAACAAAAATTAATAAATAACAAAGTAGATATAGCTCAGCCAAAAAATACAAAAGTGTTGGAACTAGAGAGAGTACTGGGATTAAGGTGTGAGCCTTGTTTGCAGGAGGATCTCAGTTCAGTCCCCAGCACCAAATGGTTCATTGAGTATCGCTTGTTGCAATCCTAGATGGATGCCTCTAAGCGTCACCAGGTGTTTGTCCTGGAGGCCCCAAAGCACTGCTGGAATGGCCCAGGTATTCTCTTCACTGCAGATTCCAAGCAGGTACCCATCCTTGGGCCCTTGCATTGAGCAGTCAGCCCAATTGACCAAGAATTGCTAGGAGGAATACTGGTTTTAAATGATTTTCATTTGGGAGCCTTCCTCCTGAACCCCCTCCCAGACTAACAAAAAGCATAAATATGAATATTATGGCCTCTTATAAAAGATAAAATATATAAAATACAAATATATGGATATTTATGGCATATTTTTAAATACAAATGAGTAAGTTCTGGTATTGCTGAAATCATCTTCTTGCTGTTTCAGTGTAATTATATGGAAAAATAGCCAATGTCATACATTATGCCTCCATTTTCATTTAAAGCTTAGAATTAATCGTATCTCACTGTTTTAATACGTCTTTTCTTGAAGAGTTCTTTCTTCTCATAGATCAGTAGTAAGATAATTATTACATTTTTCTCCTTTGTTACTCTGATTTATCTCCCTAGGTTTTAAATGATTTCATTTTTTTATGGTTTTAGGGAAATACAATTCATATACCAATTTACTTATTTAAAATGTATAATTAAATTACTTTAAATGTAGTCACATAGTTGTGAAGCCAGCCTGGAGTGATAGCACAGCGGGTAGAGCGTTTGCCTTGCACGCAACCCTCCTGGATTCGATTCCTCCGCCCCTCTCGGAGAGCCTGGCAAGCTACCGGGAGTATCTTGCCCATATGGCAAAGCCTGGAAAGCTACCCATGATGTATTCAGTATGCTAAGAACAGTAACAGCAAGTCTCACAATTTGTTGTGAGACTTTACTGGTGCCCACTTGAGCAAATTGATGAACAACAGGAGGACAGTGCTACAGTTGTGAAGCTGTCACCACAGTTGGTCTTACTTATTTATATTTTTTAATCACACTGAGCTTTGCTAAGTGCTTGCTCCTGGCTCTGCACTCAGGGATCACTCCTGGCAGGGCTCTGGGCACCATAAAGGGTGCCAGGGATTAAGTCCTGGTGGTCACATGTAAGGCAAGTGCCCTACCCACTGTACTGTCGCTTTGATCCCACCACAGTTGGTTTTGGAACATTTGTATCACCTCCAAAAATGAATCTCATACCTTTTAATAGTCATTTTCTATTTCTCCCAACTTCCACAATCCTAGGAAACTATGAATATTTCTGTGTCTATAGATTTTGGAACATTACTAAGAAACAGTAAAGGCAATATGGGATCCTTGATAGATTACTTCTTTCACCTATGTTTTCAAGATTCACCCATATTGTAGTTGCATCAGTAGTTCTTTTATTGCCAATAAAATTATATGAATATAATATCCATTATCCACTATGCATTCCATAGTCCATTCCATAGTCCATAGATTTGCACCCTTTGGCTGTTTAAGAATAATGTGACTGTGAACATTCATGTAAAGGTTTTTGTGTGAAACTTTTCTTTTCAGTATATACTTAGGAGTAGCATTGCTGGATCACATGATAACTAACTTTCTAAGGAAATGTTAGGCTGTTTTTCAAAAAATGGGAAAAAATTGCATTGTTTGAAGTTTCTGGTTTTCTTGCCCTTCTTTTGCCTAGACTTGTTTCCTGTCAGTACGGTCATCTTAGGGAGTCTAAATAAGTATCTTTATTGTGGTTTTGATTTGCATTTCTCTGATGGATAATGATTCAGCATCTTTTTATATTTTTTTTTTACTCATTTATATACAGTCTTTGGAGGAATGTCTATTCAGGTCCTTTGCCCATTTAAAACAATTTTTTGAAGAAGGATACAACATATGAGGGATCTGAACTTTGCTCACTTTTGTTTTGTTTTGTTTTGTTTTTTGGCTTTTGGGGGTCACACCCGGCGATGCACAGGGGTTATGCCTGGCTCCGCACTCAGGAATTACTCCTGGCGGTGCTCAGGGGACCATATGGGATGCTGGGGATTGAACCCGGGTCAGCCGTGTACAAGGCAAATGCCCTACCCGCTGTGCTATCACTCCAGCCTCTGAACTTTGCTCACTTTTTCTTGGGGCTGTTAGTTCTTTTGTTATTAGTTGTGTTCCTTAAAATTTCTAGATACAAGTAACTTATGAAATATGTGTTTTGCTAACAAACCCTCCTATTCTGTGGACCTTTTGATGATCTCTTACTTTTTTCTTCGTGCCCCCCCTTTTCTCTTTTCACATGGACAGATACTGTGCCTGTGTTGTAACAGGATTTGAGGGGAGCACTTACCAACAGCACGATATCTTTAAAAGCAGAAAAGCTTTTACTGTTGATAATGTCCAGTTTATCCATTTGTAGCTGTTTTTGAGAGGTTTTGTTTTTGGGGATGTAGATTCCAAGCTCTAGCAGACTGGTCTTTGGGATGCAAGCCCAAGTGCTTGTAGCTTGTGAAAGTGCTTGTGAAAGGTTTCAGTTTGGTTTTGTATCTTCTTTCCCCAGGCCAAAATTACTGGCCTGCAGATGTAAAGAAACAATGTACGTTTTGCTGCCTCAAGGTTCTTTCTGTAACTCCTTTTGATGGCATCACTATATTGCAGAGGTACTATGATCTATAGAAATAAAAGGGAAATGTTTAGCTTTGTGATTTTTCCCAAGAAATTTAAAACATGACTTTTCAGCTCTTAGAATATGTGATTATATATTCTGCTTCTGAGAACCAGAAAAAAGGTTAGGGAAAGCACCTGACCTCTTAAGGGAGGAAGTACTTGCATTTTTGGGTGTACTAACTGAAGAAGTGGGGTGCAAGAAAGATAAAGCCAGAAACATCAAATAAAAAAATCAAATAAAAATTATATTTGTACTTGTTCAACTTAAAACTATAAAACCCAGCTCCCAGAACCGCGTGGCCGCATTTGCGGCTGCACGACATCTTATTATGACATCTTATTATCTCATTCCTACTTTGGACAAACTGGCAGGCTACCGAATGTAACCTGCCCACACGGCAGAGTCTGGCAAACTCCCCGTGGTGTACGCAGTATGCCAAATACCAGTAACAATGATGGGTCTCATTCTCCTAAAGAGCCTTGAATATAGCATTTTTTAAAAAATCTCAGGGCTAGGATGAAGGAGACGTTACTGGGGCCTGCTCGAGGCAATCGACGAATCCATTTGTAGCTGTTTTTGAGAGGTTTTGTTTTTAGTGCCATATTTAAAAACATGTTGTCTAATCCAAGATCACAAAGATTTACGTCAATCTCCTCATCTTACTATTTAAAAATAAGAACGTTGTATAGCAGTACCAGAAAAGAAAAATTTGAGTGGAATGAGTTTGCCACACCTAATGGCCCTCAAGAAATACTCCTGGCTTTGTAGTCAGACATTGTTTTTGGTGGTGATTGGGTGACCGTGTGATACTTGGGATTGAATTTATGCTTCCTACATACAAAATATTGATTCAGCCCATTGAGCTCTCTCTAATACAGAAAGAAACCACCCCATAATCATATCAGTCTAAAAGTTTTGCAATATTGTCATCTCCTTATTTAGTGAACACATATTTTTATTTATTGCCAGTCTCGGAGAGCCCGGCAAGCTACCGAGAGTATTCGATATGCCAGACACAGTAACAACAAAGTCTCCAATGGAGATGTTACTGGGCCCGCTCGAGCAAATCGACGATCAACGGGAGGGCCTTTACCTTTACCTTTACCAGTTTTGTTATATACTGTGGGATTTTGCTGGGGGGTTTTGTGTGTGTGTGTTTATGTATAATACATTACAACAAAGTCTCCAATGGAGACGTTACTGGGCCCGCTTGAGCACATCGATGAACAACGGGAGGACAGTGACAGTTTATGTATAATATTTTTAATTTCAATTTTAAGGCTGAATAATGAAGTAAACTTTCTAATTATGTAATATCTTTCTTTATAGTTTCATGTGTTAAAACTGTACTTAATACTGACAAGCCCATTTTTGCTTCTACTGAATTACTTTCTTGGAATAACTTCCTAGCAATGAAATTAGAGGGTTAAAGGAAGTCAACATATGAAAAATTCTATTCTGGAAAATACTAAACTGTGCTTTTGTGTAGTAAACATTCTTTAAATTTTACTATATTTTGAAGTTGATTCACATCAGTTGAATAATTCATTTTGGTAATATTTCAGTAAAGTTCAAGACTTTGTTGAGGTCTTATTTAATTTGTTCATGTTGGGAAATATGCTACATCTGTGGTACTGATAGTTAAAACGAGCACAGACAAGTCCTAAGTTGTATTGTGAACTGAAGATAAACATGGCATACTTAAAATTTAGTATATTTTCCCTTACAATTTGTTCGATTTTCTTCAGGCTTCGGGAGCAAGAAAGAAAAGAAGCAGAAGAAGCTAGTCAAAAGGAAATAGAGGAATGGGAAAGAAAACTTCTAGCTCAAGCATTGCCAACTTGTATGGAGACCATGTGGGAAATTCCAGCAATCGGACATTTCCTTTGTTTAGCCCAACAAATTCTAAATTTGCCAGAAATAGTCTTTTATGAATTGGAACGTTGTCTTCTGATGCCTCAGTGCAATGCTTTTCTATCCAAAATAATGACTTCTCTATTAAGTCCTCCTCATCGAAGACCTACCTTACATCGAAGACCTACTTTGCCTTATAGGACCTGGGAAGCAGCACTGAGACAGAAAGTACAGCAGTGGTACACTGCTGTAGGGCAGACAGAAAATCCTGATAACTGTGCTGAAAAACTTGGGTTGTGTCCTCAGTTTTTTAAAGTTCTTGGAGAAGTTAATCCCTTGGAAGAAAAACCTTTTCACGAACTACCTTTCTACCAAAAAGTGTGGCTACTTAAGGGTCTTTGTGATTTTGTGTATGAAACACAGAAAGAAGTTCAAGATGCTGTACTTGGACAGCCTATTCATGAATGCAGGGAAGTTATCCTTGGCTATGATTATTTGGAGAATGCTTATGTCCATTTCCCACAGTTCTGTGGTGCCGATGTACGGATTTATAAACAACGACCTTTTCAGGCCCCAGAATTTCCAGTTCCACCAATAAAGATACAAAGAGTACCTCGAATTAAACTGGAGAAATTGAAGTGTGACTATGTTAGTACTAGTAATGGAGAACACAGGTGTACTGGAGAAGGTCTGCCCTCTGCCTACCAAAAAGAGCAAGGAATTAATTTTGATTCAACTTGCTGCCCTGCTAAAATGAGCTTGGATAATCATGATCTCTCTGTTGAAATGGAAGTAAAATCCAACTGTGAAATAAGAATTCGTAGGCTCTGCGAACTTAAAAAAAGTGATTGTTTTAAAGAAAATTTAGAGAAACCAGGGAGTCCAGGGGAAGTTACTGGCTTTGGAGAGCCCCTCAGTCCAGGTGAAATAAGGTTTATAGAAAATCAGGAAAAATATGGCGAAGCTTCCAGAGTAAAGCCTGAACCCAGTCCATTGAAAGAAAATGCTCTAAAATCTTGCCAGATTCATGTAAATGGAAGTCACAGTGACCATCCAGAAATTAACTGCCACAAAGTTGTGAGGGATTTTTTATTAGAGCAGTCACTACAGAGCCACAAGAAATTCAAACTAACTAAAATGAGAGCAAAAAAGAAGAAAAAGAAAAAAAAGAAACTGAAAGATGTTCTGAATGAAAATTTACAGAGAAAGCGTGAAGGTCTTCATTCTCTTGCATTCAAGTCTTATAAACCTGAGATCCAGAATAAGTTATTGATCATCAAAAAGAAAGCAAAACACAAGAAGCACAAATCTGGTAAGCTAACACAGATAGGTGAGAGTCTCCTTTAAACATATTTAAAGTTGACCTTTTAATTAGATTATCAGGGGAAATGATTCACATAATAAATTGACAGATTGCTTGTTTGTATATGTTTTTAAAGATCAAATTTCTTATTACCCTCCATGATTAAAATTGCAGAAATTATTTAATATATTAATAAAATTTCTGCTGCAATACATTTGAACTTAATTTTGCAGTTAAAAGTTTTTGTACATTATGTTTTACTTTTTCTGGACCAATTTCTGAATAAGTGATCAGTTTTTTAACCCGAAAAGTGCAGTATAATGCAGTGGAAAAGCTGACACTGTGAGATATTTCCAATACTAAAGTTCATAGCAACTAGTTCTTAATCAGATTATCTTTCTGGGTCTCAGTTCTTTTCCTGAATCTGTATTTTTTCAGTTCTCTGTATTCAGTATATATTTTAATATACATACTGAAGAAATGTGACCTGTGGAAAATTGCATTTTTAAGAGATGAAGAAGTTTAATAAAAGCATTTATAAATTTGTCTTACAATTTAAATAAATTTAATATATTTGTCATAAACCTATTTAATAATACACAGGAAATAATGTAAATAGTCTTCAGTGGTTTATTGGTTTTTTTTATTACTGTAGCTTTATTCATTTCTTACTGTCTACCTAAATCAGTTTTTGTTTCAATAAGTGAATAAGAAGCTTGTCAACTCATTTAACTTTAATAAAAATCTAATTGGGAAAATTTGAATTGTTACTGAAAAGCGTTGCTCTGTATCAACATTATTTGTGGATTTCATTTTTTTATTCTTCCCCTTAGTAACGTAGAGAATTAAAATCGACAATAATTTGATGATGATCTGGCAAAAAAGGCAGTGAAATTTACTTAGTGGCTATAGTTGCTACACTTTAGTGGGCTTTTATGTTTTATTTTGTTTAGTTTTGGGGCCACCTCAGCGGTGCTCAGAGCTTACTCCTGGCTCTGCACTCAGGGATCACTCCTGACGGTACAATATAGGGTTCAAAGGTTCCAACCCTTGTCAGCCACAAATAAGGCAAGTGTCTTACACGCCCTCTGACCCCACACTTTAGTTTTTTAATCACTGGATACAAATAAATGAGTTTTTGAATGTTTAGTGTATCATTGATAAAATCATGTCAGTGTCAGACTAAAGAAGTAGTAAAAGTAAAATTCACTATCAAGAATAAGAATTTGTTGAAATGAAAATTTATTGAAATGAAATTTATTGAAATGAAAACTGGTCCACATTTTCCACATGACAAAAAGCTACAATAAAGTTTCAGAGGTAACACTTTAAATTTTATATATTTTTTAGGTTGTATAAATTTAGTTTGGTCTGAATGATTTTTTTAAATATTAGCAATTAAAATACTAAATGGCATATTTTGACAAATTTTCATTTCAAAAGTTTATACTGCTGTTTTATTAATGTCAACTCAACTAAAATTTTTGCTTATTTAATTTGTGATCTACTGATCTTTTGTTCAAAGGCAGTTTTGATTTTTGGTGACTTATAAAGTATAATATTGATATAGTTTTCTTCATAGACTACCAATAACAGAATAAAAACATTAAATGCTGAATATTGGATTAAAAGGAATTTGTATTATGAGCAAAGTATTGCTCCACTTTTTCAAATGGAAGTTAAGAACATTTTTGAAGAGAAAACGTGGCTGTTCATGTCTAGTTCTTGACAGTGAGTGAAAAACACTTCAAAGGCAAGAAGCTTTAAAAGAGCTCCTTTAAAGGACAGAGAAACTCTCCAAAACAAGGCATTGGGTATGATAGTCATTAATGGTTCATATTGTTGTCCTCTGCTTGATTCAGAAAGGTTACAAACAGCAGTTAGTCATCACAAACTGACTTTTACTGATGAATTTTATGGTAATTTCATTTGCTATTCCTTTAAGTTTTGTAGGAATGAGTAATACGAAATGAATTTGTTATATGCCTGCCAAGGAGGCAGGCGGGGATGGAAGGGAACCTGGGAACATTAGTGGTGGGATTAGTATTGGAACATTTTATACCTGAAACAACTCCATTATGAACAACTTTGAAAAGAAAAACTTCAAAGCAAGTTAGCTATAACACACACACACACACACACACACACACACACACACACACGTATGTATACCCTCTCTGAGGCTGTTTCAAGAGAAAGTTTTATAATTGTGAAATAGGAATTGTCTTTACATTTTCTCATTTTATTTTCAGAGCAGGTTTGGGTTTATTGTTTGTTTTTTGATTTGGGGGCACAGCCAGTGGTATTCAGGGCTTTCTCCTTACTCAGGAATCACTACTGGTGGTGCTCAGGGGACCAAATGGGATGCTGGGGATAGAACCTGGGTTGGTGAAGTGTAAGACAAGCGTCTTACCTGTTGTACTATCTCTTCGGACCTTCAGAACAGATTTTTGAATATCAGTATAGGGGGGGCAAAAATACTGGAGCAATATAACAAGGCGGTTTGCCTTGCACACTGCTGACCCTGGTTCGATTCCTCCATCCCTCTCGGAGAGGCCAACAAGCTATCGAGAATAGCCGCCCTCACGGCAGAGCCTTACAAGCTCCCCATGGCGTGTTCGATATGCCAAAAACTGTAACAATCTCAAAATGGAGACGTTACTGGTGCCTGCTTGAGCAAATCGATGAACAGCGGGAGGACAGTGCTACAGTGCTACAGGCAAGAGAAATGAAATCTTACTAATTCAGTTCTCTGTTTTCATCAGATACTAAACTTGGTACTTTTGTAGTAATACTGTATAAAATGTTACAGCAGCAACACGTTTGTTTTATATTTTTGTTATACTTCTCTTTTTGTGGCTTTTGTTCTGGACTATATATATATATATACGTATATATGTATACGTATATATATACATATGTATATCATTGGGCTTTTATAGTTAGTTTGGATTTATACCCCTTAAAGAGTTAAACATTTTCTTTTTAAAACACTATCTTTAAAAAGAGAAGGTGTTTTCACTCTTTCAAAGCGAGTTCAGTAATCACAGGTTTGGGAAATATTTCTCATATAGCCATGTTATAGTGTCCACCATACACTTTGCCAGGTATGTTTTAGAGTTTATGCTCAGTGGTCTCCCGGACTTGCCAGGAGTGATCCCTGAGTGCAGAGCCAGGAGTAAGCTCTGAGCAGCACTAGGTGTGTCCAAAAATCCAAAAAAGAAAAAAGAATTACATAATGGAATGAACTTAGACTTGGAGTTAGAACCCCGTACATACAGTGCAACACATGACTGTAGCACTGTCCTCCCATTGTTCATCGATTTGCTTAAGCGGGCACCAGTACTTAATATATATTATAATATATATAATAATATATATTAATATATATATTCATTGTGAGACTTGTTGTTACTGTTTTTGGCATATTTAATACATCACGGGCAGCTTGCCAGGCTTTGTCATGCGGGCGGGATACTCTCAGTAGCTTGCTGTGCTCTCTGAGGGGGCTGAGGAATCGAACCCGGGTCAGCCACATACCAGGCAAACCCCTGACCCACTGTGCTATTGCTCCAGCCCGCAACGTGTGACTAAGTTAAATAATATATTTTCAACTATCCCACATTGAAGTGGAGTATAGGTTTAGGTATAGGTATACCTAAGTATAATTAATTAATATATATTAAGTATAGGTATACCTTGGAGAGTAGGTTTGAGAATCGACTGAGATAATTTTATAACAGTCGCTTTAACAAGTCTTTAGACTCAGTGTGAAGTTTTCTTATTACCAGTCCTAAGTCATGTTTTGCACTGCTTTGGTAAATTGTGTAACTTACTTAAAATTGTCAGTGTTGTGTGCTTTTGGGTTTTTTGGCTTTCGGTTTTGCTGGGGCTTCACCTGTGAGTATTCAAGGCTTACTCCTCTCTCTGTGCTCAGGACTCATTCCTCCTAGTCATGGTGCTCAGGAGACCATGTGTAGTGACGGGGATTGAAAACAGGTCAGCCGTGAGCAGTGTAAACACCGTACCTGTTGAACTAGCTCTTGGGACCCAGTCAATATTTTTCTGAGGAAAAACGGACACAGATGGTCTTTTAGAGTTCTGAGCAATTAATCTGCCTCCATTTTTCTATTTCAAGACTGGTTAAAATATCTGATCAGAAGGATGATTATTGTGGCTAAAGAAGATATTGCAGGGATTTATGTTCTTGACCTTGTATTCAGCTGACCTAGTTTGATATCTAGCACTATATATGGTCCCCCAAGCACTGCCAGGAATGACCCCTGAGCACAGAGCTCAGAGCAAGATCTAAGCACAACTGGGTGTGCCCCTTCACTCAAAAAAAGTATGATTCTTGTGTTTAAGGATCATTTCGCATAACTTATTGTGTGCTAAGTGCTGTCAGTACAAAATGAATAGTATGACTTCTATAGTTAACTCAAAATCTAGTAAGGAAAAGAAATGGATAATTACATATAATTGTCACAATTGATAATATGTACAAAGTAGAACGTGGCACAGGACATCTGAGCAGGAACAGTTAAAGATGTTAGCTTGATTAATAAAAATAATTGTTAGTAATTTAAGTAAGTTATTGAATTTGAAAGTCAGACAATAATATTGTACTCGGACATTTGAACTTATTTAAGGCAGATAATATTTACTTTACATAGAGAGCAGTGGTCTGATCTCTACATACTTCAAATATCCGTTTAATTCTCATGAAAAATTTTTATGTTTATATAGCATAGCAGTAGGGCATTTGCCTTGTGCGCAGCCAGCCTGGCCGAGCCGGGTTCGATTCCTCCTCCCCTCTTGGAGAGCCCGGCAAGATACCGAGAGTATCTTGCCTGCACGGCAAAGCCTGGCAAGCTACCTGTGACGTATTCAGTATGCCACACACAGTAACAAGTCTCAAAAAAAAAATGAAGATGTTACTGGGCTCACTCGGGCAAATCAATGAACAACGGGAGGACAGTGTTTGTTTGTTTGTTTATTGAATTCTCACAAAGTACATAATGTAATTATTACTTTTAACAGGGAAAAAGTTCCATGGGAAAATAAAGCAATTTGCTTGTGTCTTGTAGTTAGTACTTATTAGTACTGATCAGAACTAGTATTCAAGTCCCCCCAATTTAGTCCCAAAATTCAAGTTTAAAACCACCACTCAAAACTACCTTTTTAATAACATTTGAGTTTCTTGCTCACATGATGAAAGAAACGCCCATAACTATCTTAGCTTCTTAATCCATTTAGATAGAATAGCCGCCAGAGTTAACTGGGAATTTAATTTAGTACCTGAAGTTAGTGTTTATGTGAAAACTATATGAAATTCATTGAGAATATCAGCGATAACTTCTGTTGCGTTTATAATTATTTCTTTAAAGCTAATTAGAATTATCTGGGTGGGAGCAAATTGCTGTTACTAGATCGGCATGGCTAGGTATTCTGCTGTTCAAAATCTTGAATCCTCTTGAAAGGTACTAATATTTGGGGAACTGAAATGATGGTGCAGAGTATTAGGCATTTGCCTTGCATGTGGTACACTAGGTTTGTTCCTTGGCATCCCATATGGTCCTCTGAGCACCACCAGGCGTGATTTCCAAGTGCATAACCGAGAGTATCCCTGAACATTGCCAGGTGTGGTCCCCTCACAAACAAAAAGAAAAAAGAAAAATTTATACCCAGTTTATAAATCAGAGATCTCAAGAATTCAATCATTTTCTTTGAATATTGTTTACTTACGCAACCTACCTCCTGACCTATTTTTGTAAGACCTATTTTGGTTCTACTGTAAATACTGTTTCCTACAAGAAGCAAATAATATAAAGAAGAAACATTTTATTTTTAAATTTTTAATGGAATCACTGTAAGATGGAACATTACAAAGGTGTTCATGATTGGGTTTCAGTCATACAGTATTCCATCCCCCCACCAATGTGTATTTCTCAGCACTCACCCCCCCAGCTCCCACCCATCTGTTGTTTTAATTTTAAAGTGAAGGTCATGTGATACCACATTGCTACTTAGAAGACAGTAAAACCCAGGTTAACTTAGTAAACTTTAAGCAACTCATTTTTCAGTAGTTCAAACAAATATGTGTACATCTTACTAAGATGTATGTTGGAAGTTATATAAAATGCAGTTTGCTGATACTTAAATACAGAAAAAAATGCAATTCTTTTGTAAATTGAAGTTGTGCCTACAAGTTCAATAACATGTTGCAGTCAAATAGACTTTTCATGCAAGATCATATCTGGATGGAAGAATGTTTATGAAGGAGCATTAGAGATAAAGAATGGTTACTTTTTGTGTTCACTTGTGTTTCCTTTTAAAATAAGAAGTAACTTCTAGGCTGATTTTAGTCTACTAGTTTTTGTGATTAAAAATTAATTTTAAAGTTTTTCTCATTAAGCTCCTGGAGGATAGGACTTGTATTTTTTAAAAAAATGTGTTCCATGAATTGTACAGTGCCCTGTATCTTTTTTTTTAACTAACTGCCATGTGTTAATGTGGGAGAATATTTACTTTAGCATGTGTTTTAGTAAAATGGAATTTCTTTGATGACTATCTCTTTAATGTAAATACACTGAGTAGATATACTTTAAACTGTGCTTAGAATTGGATTTCTTTGAGAATGTAGACTTATTTTTCCTAGTTATTTCTGATTACACAAATGATGAGGTTCACTTTAAAGGGAGATGTTTACCTTGTTTTAAAACTGGATGTTGAATCCTGCCAAAGGCAGCCGGCCCATTAGGTGAGTGCAGGACTAAAGGGATGGAAAAACCTGTTTCTTAAGCTGCTAAGAGGATTTTCACATTATTAGATTGGCTAAAGATCAGTCTTCACTGTATAGTTCTAATTCCTGACTACAAAGATCATTGTTAAAGGTAAGGGTTTGTACTTACGTAGTTTTATTTTTTTTTTTAAGTTGTGAATCAGATTTTAAGCAAGCAATTGTGTTGTGATTCTTTTTCGGGGGGGGGGGGGGTGGTTATTGGGGGGAGACCAAATCATAGTGCAGTTAATTCTGATACTCTACAAGACATTGGAGGTATAATCATTTGGTTCTTAATAAAACTTTGTTAACGTGTGTTATAGATGTAGTTTAATGTTTGTTTCCACTGGGACTTGTTTTGATTCATCATTTTTATTTGACTCGAAGCCATCTGTTAGTTATAATTTAACTTTCAAGGTTCTGTGTAATTTGCTTTTTGTTAATGAAGTGGTGCTATAAACAGCATTATGAAGCTTTTCTTTTTTAATCTTGAAAGGGAAAAAATCCATATCTAAAAAAGCAATCACAAAGAAGAGGAAAACTGTCACAAAGTCACCTACTGTACCAGAATTTCAGGTAAATGTTTCAGTTTTGCCTAAGAAAGTTTTACTTTAATTTTTTGCTTTACTATTTATATTATTCCTCAAGAGATGACTAAATTCTACTGTAACATCCATTATAATGTTTCCAACTATAAGTTTTCTTCCTGCAGGTATAGGCAGAGCTCAGTTTTATTTTATCTGCTAGTATTTAAAACTTCTGTTTTTGTCTCAATAAAAATATTTAAATATATTTTAATATACTATACTGACTTTCAGAAGTCATTTAAATAGAAATATATATGAATAAATGTGTAAATGGAAGTCTTCTAAGAACAAGTCATAAATTTTGTGATAATGTAGCCCAATCTTTTTATTTTGATACTGTAGAAATAATAGACTTAATAACTTAAAAGATCTTTTAGCTTAAAAGAACTTCAGAGAGAATTTTAAGTAAATGTTTACTATTCTTTAAACATTTCTACAAAAAAAGAAAGGGAAGTAATTGTATATTCAACTTTATGGTTATTTGAAAAGTTTTTCATTTGTAACTGGCACAGAATAAGCAGAGAATCTCACCCAAAGTAAATAATACTTATTTACTTTTAAATTTACTTTTACCAAAGTAAATATTATAAGATGTTTGTTATTCAACAAATGATTTTTTTGATTGTTATTTATGTTTCCAGACTATTTCAGAAAGATTTTTTTAAGTGCAATACTTAAATACCAAAAGTAAGAGTAATAAGTGAAAATATTTAGAATACTGCCTTTAGCAGTTACATATACTGAAAGATGTAGATACATATATTTTTCAGTAATAGTTGGTTTGGGAAAGTGTTCTTGTAAAAGTGTTAATTAGTAAGTTTAATTTCTTAAATGAACAGCAGAAGAAATTAGAGGGTTTTTTCTATTTTGATAACTTAAGGTGAATTACATGTATTTGTATAAAATTCTTTTATATAAAGTAAGCTTGCTTCCAGCATACTCAGTGGAAAATATGTATTTACTTTGAGGTCTTTCTACTCTTGTTACTATTGTTGTACATTTAATTTAATGCTATGTTGCCATTTTTCCACTCATGCTAGTTTTGCTATTTGCTATTTCTCCCATTATTTTCCTTCAATTCCTCAAAGTAATACATACTTGTACAAGTCTGGCCCACAAATTTGTCCCCATGTGTCTTAGGAAATGATACTTGTCGTAGGAGATGAACATCTTTGAATATGGAATAAGTGACATAAGCAATGTTTTTAAAGTTTCAGGTGGTATTCATTAGTGAGACCAAGATCAATTTAGTGGGTTGTGTAATAGGCATTTCTTAAGCTACTGTTAAAATACAAATCATAGTATGTCAAATATAGTAAGGGTAAATATTATTTCAAGAAACTTTGGCATGGATCATATATGTGTTGCTGGCTTGCATTGTAAAATACATATTTTTCACTGTGGTTGACTGGTAAAAATATTTGAAAAACACCATCTTAAGTTACACTTTTAGTTTACTAGTCAGTTGCATAGCACTCTCAAATTTAGGTCAGAAGTGCTGTTTTGCTAGATTTAGGTGTTTGAAATAAACTCCCATCCTGGTAATTGAAGGGCTGTCGAATGTGTTTTATGTACTACATGTACTCTTGCAGATGCATGTGTCTGGGAGCACATATATGTATGTGTATATTACTAGGGATGGGAAACACACTTGTTGAGAATAGTGATTTTTGTACCCGGTTTACAGTGTGAATATCATGGTATTAGGTGTGAATACCATGGTATTACTCAAAATCGACATCTATCTCCCAGGAAAAAAAGGTTTATTTCCCTCAAATAAACCAACCATAGAGTTAGTATCAGTAGTTAGTAAGTTTTGTTGTTACAAGCCAAATGTATGGATTTGATTTCAATTCTTTTATATGTTTTAACTGTTTTAAAATTTCCCCATATATTAGAAATTATTAGATAATAGAGTGAATTTAGTTTCTGAAGCTCAAGTATTATGATAATTTAGCATTTAAAACACCAAAAATTATTTATTTTATATGTTTTTTAAATGTGACGTTCAGGACCAGAGAGCGGGCTCTCTAGTTGAGTGCATGCTTTGCATGTGTGAAACACAGGTTTGACCCGTGGCACCTCATGGTTCCCTGAGCACTGCCAGGAGTGACCTCAAGCACAGAGGCAGGAGTAGACACAGAGCAGGACTGGAAGTGACCCCAAAACCAAACATTAAAAAACCAAATGTCACATTTCTAGTATAAAGCATAAAGATTTTTGATTGAAATATTTAGAGTTGTTTTATTTTTGAAAATAAGCTGTTAATGAATAGGTAGTAGATCTCTTATTAAAGCCTGACATTTAAGGACTTGCTGCCCTTAGTATGCTTTTTACAAAACATTTTTCTTTTGTATTTTATTGGGGGGGGCTTTTTCTTTGTTATTTTTAATTTCTTGCTTAGTTTGTTGTTACTGTTGTTTTGTTTTATCCTAGTATTCTTTTCTTAATTGTAAAGGTAAATGCATAAATATTTATTTGTGGGACAAAGACTAAGACAGGTGCAAAAAAGCTAAATACTCCTTTGCAACCTAGAATGCTTTGTTCAGTACAAGTTCTGATACAGATAAAAGCAACCTGACACCTTACTCTCTGTATCAGAGCCATAGTAAAAGGATTTTAGGCTTATTGATGAACATAAAAGTTGGCTTTGAAACTGAATTTTGATTAGAAGCACCTCAGTGGAATGGAGAGATGGTCTAGCAGGTGCTCCTGCCTTCATATGGATGTCCCAGTCCTCCCCGTAACCCTTCCAGGTGTAGCCCAAAACAAGCCTACCCCTTCCCCCCAAAAAAATCTGCACTAAAAAACAACAAAAAAGCATTTTTTTCTGGAATACCAGCCTGAAACAAAGAAAGTTTCTTATTCTAGGAAAAAGTATGAGTGTTGTGGCTTAAGTTTTGAAGTTCTAATTTTAAAAGTAAATTCTACTTTCATCCCAACTACTTTTTAATTTGATAGTGGCCTTGTCAGTTTTTTTAAGCACAAATCAAATTTGGTTGTTTACCTTAGGAATTATCCATGTTTATATACTTGCCAAATACTCACACTTAAAGAAAATAGTCATCCCACCCATATTTCATATACTATAATCATTGAGATGATGGATTAAATTTTTGTGTATTTTTTAAGAGCTGGAGCGATAGCACAGTGGGTAGGGCGTTTGCCTTACACCCAACCAACATGGCCGACCCAAGTTCGATTCCTCCGCCCCTCTCAGAGAGCCCAGCAAGCTACCAAGAATTCGATATGCCAAACACAGTAACAAGTCTCACAGTGTTACTGGGCCCGCTCGAACTATCACGATCACGTGATTCACAATCACGACCATCCTGTTGTTCATCAATTGCCTCGAGCAGGCCCCAGTAACGTCTCCGTCGTCCTAGCCCTGAGATTTTTTAAAAAGTGCCATATTCAAGGCTCTTTCAGGGTTAGGAGAATGAGACCCATCATTGTTACTGGTATTTGGCATATTGGGTATGCCACGGGGAGTTTGCCAGACTCTGCTCTGTGGGCAGGTTACATTCAGTAGCCTGCCAGGTTGTCCTACAGAGTCTCCTGCCCCTGCGTCTGGCTATCCTCGCTGGGGCCCCTTGGAGGGGAGCGGGTTGAGTTTCCCTCCCCACCCCAACCATGGCTCCGGCAGCCGAAGACCTCCAGAACCAGCCACCACCATGCTGAAACCTGCATAGATTATTATATGGTTAAATATAAGGATTTTAGAATTAAATTCTCAGATTTTCATGCCAGCTTTATCAGAAGCAATTATAACTATGGGTAAATTAATTAATGGTTCTGTCTTTGGCACCACATCTGGTCTCAAGAGCATCTGGGAGAGGGAGAGAACTGAATTTCCCATCCCTAGCACTGAGTACCCCCAGATGTGGCCCAGGATCAAAAAACTAATCTCTGTATATTTCCAGTTTGATTAATAATAGTACCGAGCTGATAGTACCTAGCTATCAGCTCGGTACTATTGTTATAAAGATTAAATCATTGAGCTTACTAGTTTTATCTACTCATATTATTCATTTTTTCAAATATGTCATAAGCAATTAAACTACACCTATAACATGTTAACAGAGTTTTATTAAAACCAGATGATTATACCTCCACTGCCTTGTAGAGTATCAAAATTAACTGCACTATGATTTGGTCTCCTCCCAGCACCACCACTCCCTCCCCCCCACTGAAAAAAATCACAACACAATTGCTTGCTTAAAATCTGATTTACAACTTTAAAAACTGCTATGAAAACTGAAATGAAAAATCAATTAAGAATTGCCTTAAGAGTATATATTATTGACCTTAGTTCTTTTCCAACAGTTAAAATTTTGAAATAAATAGAAAATTTGGTTATATTTTATGTTTCTAAATCTCATCACTAAACATAGAAGAATTTTGCAAGGGGTAAACCACATAATATTTGCACCCCTACTTTTTTCATTTGATCACCATGAGATACAGTTTCAGAGCTGTTCATGATAGGTTTCAGTCATACTCCAACACTCATCCCTCCACCCGTGTACATTTTCCACCATTGATGTCTCCAGTTTCCCTCCCACTGCCTCCGACCCCCAGCCTATGGCAGGCAGTTTTCTTCTCTCTTTCTCCTTTGTTGTACCCCTATTTTAATCAAGGGAAAACTTACAGATGCATATGGTCGTGTTGTGCCCTTGGCATATATAAGAAAACCTTGTTGGATTTGTTGTTGTTGTTAGCATTTAATATATTGGTGATTTATGATTTATATCAGATTTAAGTTTCCTGTGGCTATTAAACTGGCTTGCTGTTTTTTCTTATTTTATGAGACTTTTAGCCTCAGTTTAATATTTGCAAGTGCTCTAAAACTCACGAACTCTGTTTGCATGCAATTATATGAAGTCATAGAAAATATTTTTAAAACCTTAGTATTTTTAAAGTAACATAATTAAACTCCTTGATGAGTTTTTAAAAATGGTTTAAGAGCCTTAGTTTCCACAATTCTAC